TTCTCCAGGTTCTAGAGCTGTATACAAAGAGGTTGTGGTGCTCTGACTGTATCCTATTTCAAGGTGGAGTTATATCTCTCCTTTTACCTTTAGCTAACCCCTCTCCTCTCCTCTCCTTCGCCTATGGCCTCCCCATAATTCATCCTAACCATCAGCCACCCTTCTCTACCGCCTACTCTTGATTTCCATTCACCCGAACTGCACCCTAACACCTTGTCGCCTCTTCCTTGCAGCCTACGCTCGTTGTCTAATCGCCCTACCTGCACCCTAACACCATGACGCCATTCTCGACAGCCTATCCTTGTTGTCCAACCCTCCAACCAATAATCTAGCTCACCTAAAGAACCCTCAAATCCTCTTCCTGACCCATTTCACCATCACCACCACACTGTTGTGGACACCATTCTGCTCTCAAATCTCCTCTTTCGGGCCCTAGTAGGATACTTGTCCGTCATTATTTTCCCTTTTCATTGTGTTATGTTGTAACCATATTTCTGTATTAATAAAAGTTTATTTTTGTGTTCTACAAAATCCATACTAGTGTCGGTATCAAAGTGTTTTTATCATTGTATTTTCCTTTCCTTAAGCATGAGATATAACACCTAGGGATTGGATGCAACCGTGATGTATTGTAGTAAATTTGATATTAGATAATTCATATAACATTGTGTATTTTATTTTATTTGATTGCCCTATTAATTCTTCGGTCAACAATTAATTCATTAGGAGATTTGATTGAAAACAAGAGGTTGATAATTGACTCATCATGGATAAAAAAAACATGTACAACCTATTTTAATATTTTAAGAGCATCGATAACTCTTTCCTTGCATTGAATTCATCACCAAAAGTAAATAGGTTGCGCAGAGAAAAAAACCAGTCAAACCAATCATCATGGGCAGAATCCAGTTCTTCTTAGTCATGAGAATTTTCTCCAAGAAAAATAGTAGCATGTCACACCTCAATCAGCCCAATCAACTCAACCTAAGGTACATTTTCTTTCATTAGGCCATCACCTAAAATATTGGTCATAAATAACACAACCTTTACCACATTCATCAATAACCCTAATACCAATTGCTATTTTTCAACCTTAACATCAAGGGTTAAGAGTTCAAATATTTATCTAAGGTTGATATCATCAGACCATTATCTTTTCAAGCGTAGGTCATCATTATAGCTATATACTTATCACAATACATTAAGTTCTTTATAATTATTTTTATAAGCATTTATTTCTCAACATAAATGTACCTACACTAATCACTTTATCAACATGCCAACAAAATAAAAAAATGTGACAAGTGACAACTAAATTTTATAAAAGACTTTTCACCTCTATAAATATGATGTAAAGCTAGAAGAAACAGTTAATTGTTTGCATGAATTGCACCATATCAACTGAATTAAATATGTATAATATTTAAAAGAGCTCTTGATGAAAACACATAATGAATAAATTTGCTTATATATAATAACCAAATTTTAATCCTATAGAAGTTACTCTTTATTTAAGCAATTATAAATCTTACCTCAATCATCTAGACAATAACACGATGAATTTCCTCGGGCTTGCTCTGAAGTAACAGGAAAATTGTTTGCATGAGTTATATTATATCAACAAAATTAAATATGTATAATACTTAAGAAGCTCTAAATGAAAATGCATAATTAATAAAAATTCTTATAAATAATACAACATTAGTCCTCCTCATCATCATCATTAGTGTCACCGCTATCTCAAATATCTCGATGGGCCAAATCAAGAAGTAAATGAAGTACATGTTCTCACAACAAATTTCCTTAGGCTGCCTTAGCTCCCCTCCATACATAAACAACCCAGAATCACAATTTTTCTTAATTTAAAAAATACTTATATTAATATCAATTAACGTTTTAGATTAAAATGGCATTCCCTCATATAAACTTTTTTTTATAATCCACAGCCAAAATTTGCTCTCAACAATTAGATTTTGCTAGGCTGCAAATTCATGTTAAAAATGGAAAAAGCAAAGGAATTATTTAGGTTTTGTGTACTTATATATATAAGTAAACAAATGTATTTACATACATATATAATTTACCAACACCAAAAACTCATTCTCTATCTTTTAATACCCTACCAATTCCAAATGTAAAAATCTGCCATCAAATTCTCTGAAGCAAGTCAAGGCAAGCTAAGTTAATTTAAGCCAGACCTTCAGATTTGATCGTTGCTGCATGTGCTGCTAGGTGGAGGGAGCGCTATAGTGAAATCTGTAAACAGTCATTTAATAAATTAACGAGATAAACACAAACATACACACTTCTATGTATCAATTTGATCGGGATGAAATGTAAAATTTTATAAAAATAGTTTGGATGAATTTCAAGTAATGAAAAGAATGGGGTATATCTCAAAATAAATTTCAATTGAACTTTTTAGTCGAAATTGGGTATTACATAGCCTTCGCTTAGTAGCTTAGTTCTCTTTTTGCTAGCATTAGGTAAGATTTTTCATGCTCATTGCTCAGTTATTATCCAGAAAATAATCCATAGATCTAATTTTAGTAATGAACGTGCAATCCCTTTGGAATAATACACCTACTCGCTTTATTACTTGATTTGATTGCATCTTCTTGCATAAATGCGGCCATAATGTAGTACCCGCCCCCTTCGATCAACTCCCTTTAGCAAGTATAAAAATCATGAAGGACCTAAGAAATTCACTCCAAAAAATTTAACACAATAACAATAACAACAAGCTTTTATCCCACCGTTCGGCTACATGAATCCTTTTTCTTTAGCGCATCCTATTGAGTGTCATGTTTTCATTTAATTCTGATAAATTAATATCATTTTTAATACAATATGCCTGAGTCTTTTTCACTTCATTTTTACATTTCTTAACATAAGTAAAACCTAAAACATCTACTCTCATACTCGGATCATCAGATGGTCAGCATTTAATGTGACAAAACCATCTAAAATGACTTTCTAGTCATATTTGCCACCGAAACTATACCAACCTATTCACGGATATACTTGTTTCTCATTTTTCTAATTCATATCATGATTTTTTTTAAAAAAAATTATTTACGTTGTTTGTCAACCACCTTACGCAAACCTCCATTTTTCGCATCCAGGTTGCAGTACCCAGCAATGGCGGTGTTTTTAAACCAAGAAAATGCATATGACTAAGAAAGTTATCCCAAACTTTATTAAATAACTGAGGTAAACTAAAACAATTTCATTGTCATCCACCTAACAAAAACACGAAGGATGAAGTCATTGGCACACATATTTCATCGAGTTTGTCAAAATGAAAAAAAAAATTATATGTTTATATAAAAAACTCAGCCTCAAAACAAATAAAATAAAACTGTCATCATCAACTCTATTACGCAAAAAAATCAGAACGATAACAAACTCCATTAGTTCAACAAGTTACCACAACCGAGCAAAAAAAATTCAAATCGACACCTAATCATAGAATTAGACTGTCTTTGCATAAATGCAATCACTGCATTTCAAATAACACTTCAAGACAATGCAACATCATCTATTTGAAAAAAGGAAAACCATAGATGAAAAATCTATTGTACCCCATAATCGAATGTGTAAATTTCTCAAATTAAAAACGCAAATATTCAGAAAAAATTGCACCAATAATGGCAGCGTTGATAAAAATATCTTGACTAAATGGGATGCTATTATCAGATGCTTGTAAATCTTAAACCAAATCATTTATAATGGCAGCGTTGATAAAAATATCTTGACTAAATCTTAAACCAAATCAATTCAAACTAAAATCCCAATAAATATATAAATTAAAAAGAGACAATAATCTAAATAAATATTCAAGAAAACTTACTTTCCTAGGCTAGGAACTATCCATCAATTCTTCAAAAAAAATAAATGAGGATGACAATGTTAAGGCCTAATCTCACAAAGAAAGTAAATGGCATATCACACATGAATATCGTCATAAATATCATGCCAATAAAGACAACACATAAAATGACAACAAAAAGTTATGGTTATGAAGGCCTTCGGGCAAGATGATTCGTTGCAAAATGACACTATCAAAATAATGGATATGCCAAATCTACTCCCCAATGACTTAGGCTCCCTTTGGGGCAGCTTATCCAATGCGGATACATTGAAAACGCCTTCTCACCGTTTGGAAATAGCGTTTGAGCAACTTATCCGAAAAAACAGTTGGTTTTTTGCACTAAACGCGGAACGCAGGTCGAATTCCAGATAAACAACTTATTTGGATAAGCACAAGCTGAGCCAAACGCACTTTCAATCTCCTAAAATTTGAATATATGGTGCAAGTGATAAGCCACATAAATCAACTATTGTTGATTTTAAATTGTCACCTAAGACTAATCCAAATCTATAAGATTCTCTTAATGATGCAACCTATGAATGCTGACAAACATTCTTAGGTCGGTTTAGACCAACAATCACCTCTAATCAGATAAGAGTTCATGACAACCCAAAAGAATGGGACTGCTGAAACTTAATTGGGTTCATTAGCATTCCTCCACTAACTACTCTAAGCTAATGGCAGTATAATTTCCTCTATACTAAACTAACATCACTACTAGTATAAACTAAATATTTAGTGGCCATCAAGTAGTCGTAAACAAAGATTCATTAGCATGACCGAGGATACTAATTAACCATATGAGCTTACGTTTATGAGAAATATGAAACCAAATTATAATGTTCTAAAAACAAACGAGCAATAATGTCTAGAATGGTAACTTATCTAAAATGCAATCTGATTCTTGAGTTTTGACCCAAAATAACAAGTCTTATAGAAAAACCGGCTGCAAATTTTCTTAGCTCACAACATATAATAACTTGCCTAAGATTCCAGCTCATTTTGACAGAATATAAAATTGGTAAAATTTTATTTAAAGGATCAGTGGAATACAAAGTTGCAAGCTAAAACTCAAATGCAGATCAAAATATTCTTCGAAATAATAGATGTAGTACGCCTATGATTAAAAGATTGAAGCTGCAAGAGCATTCCAATTTAGTCTTTTTTTTTCATTTAAGTAACAATTGTATAGAGAATATTATAGAATTAAATGTTCCACTACAACCTCATGCCGGCGCACATAACTGATCATTAGCACAAACAAAATAAAATCAGCTGAAGTAAGGCCAACCCTTCTTTCATCAGCTAAGCGATTCTATAAGATAAAATTGTGAAGTAATAACAAAGGGAAATAGTTACACCCACCAAAACTGCTTCACTTGTAGCTTCTTTGCATTCTTGAAGCTTGCTGCTTAGACAATATTTCTGCTATAAGTTGGTTCGGACCAAAAAGATGAGAATTTTTTAGAAGCAAGTTCCTAGATGTTGAGTCCACCACATAACCATGTGTTTGCATCCATTTCAACATAATCAAAAGAAGCTCTTTCTTTTCAGGTTTTCCTATGTAACGTGAAATAGCTTCATGGAATATCTCCTGCAAAATGGAAAGTACAAATTGACTTACTTTGTAAATCTAAGATTTAATCTTCTAGATTATCCACCCAAATATTGAATTGCAAGATCTGGATAATAATGTAATAAAAGCTGAACTAAAATTCAATTGTTGAAGCTACGCAAGAATTTCAAATAAGAACGTGAGATTGTGCATTTATAGGTTCGAACCTTCTCGAATAGCAAAAACCTACATGACACTTTTTAAGGGGGAAAAAATGTGTGTGGCGGGGTGGGGCGGTGTGGAGAGAGGGGGTGAGGGTGAGGGTGAGGGTGAGGTTGAGGTTGGGGTTGGGGTTGGGCTGGGGGAGGGGGGAGAGAGAAGGGAGTGAGGGGTGGGTACATACAAACCATTCAAATCCTATGTATTTGCATATCTAACACCTAAACTCTGCTTTTTTTACTTTTTTATCCCCCAAATCATTCGTATCACAACATAAATACCACCATTTAAACTTTTTAAAATTGAAATATATCTTTCATGCGTGAGTAAGGAGGTATGTAAAAATTGAAGTTTAGGTGTTAGACATATAAATAGAAAGGAATTGAGTGGTATGTATGTCAATCATCCAAAAAAAATCTACAGGCAAAGGAGGAACTTCGCATTAGAAGTACAAGACATGGCCATCTGCTTACTCCGATTCATAAGAACTAGGGTGATGTTAAATGATTAAAAAACCAACCATTAAGATATCACTGTGCAGTTAATCTAAGGAGATTAGAATATAATAATCATCAAGTTATCAAGGTCTCCACTGGTGGTCATGCTAGGAATATTTAAATTTATTTTATTTCTAAGAAATATTCTTTGGCTTGAAGTAATTGTACACCAGCAAAAAAACATGTGATGTTGTTACTGGGGTATATTAATTCGATGATGAATAAGAATTAATTCATCCTCATGTGAGCATTACTTTCCCTTTAAATGATTCTAAATACCTTACATTAGATTTAGATGAACTTAGATGCAATGCCTACAAGTCTATATAGCGTGATTGTAAGAAAAACAAACAAAAATAAAATCACGTTCTCTTATACAACCTATATCAAATTCGCATTAAATAAAACTAAACTGCCTGTAATTGCAGAAGATATTTATAACTTAACTTTCAACCAACTTAATACATTAATCATTCTTACAGAAATTCCTAGCTCTAAATCTAACTTTTAAGAAACTAACTTCCAATTTTTCACCAAAAATTCATGCCATGCCTATCACCAAAACCTAAGTCCTCGACCAAACTTCGATCCATAATCCTACATTCACCAAAATCCTAATTGGGAGAAAAAGACACGATGCCGCCAGAGAAAAATAGGGCATGAGATATCCAGTAGCTTTCAATTGAAGATATGCAAAAGGATATCCTCCAACTGTAGCAAAAACTTGCTGCCTTTGAAAGAAGATAACCCTAAGAGGTCACCTATAACTACAATAGTGATTAATCAAATTGAGAAAATTAAGTAAATCCCTTATATTTATGGATTTTCCAAACATGAATAACCAATACCCGGAGATTGGCATTGAAGAAAAAAAAAAGAGGCCAAAATTTTGGAGCAAGGATTGACAAACCAGATTTTGATAGACACTTGGATCTGGATGAATTTATTACGTGCACCTAAATAGTAAAATAAATTTTTGAGCCGAGAACAAGGCAGTTAAATTGGCAGCCATCAAACTAAAAAAAATGACTTTCTTGTGATGGGAACTTGAAGTATTTTCGACAGCCAGAAAAGCAGATAAAAATCACCATATGTTCTAAGAAGAAAATTAAGATGCAGCACAAATATTTTTTTCCCACATTATCAATTATACATGTTCTTAAAATTACAATTTATGCCAAAGAAATTCTTGCGGATTACCAACTTAAAGTGATTAACTCATGTTGAAACATGAATTGGTGGAACTAGAGGAGCGCACAGTAGCAAGGAATTGTGAAGGACTAAATTCATCCATCAATCATGTGGTGCAACTACATCCTTAATTAGTTCTTAGGCGATGTGCATACCCTGGTTTTGATGGTAGAGAAACAGTATTATCTCTAGGGAATCACCACACTTTACGGATAGAACTCAACCCAGGATCAGATAACTAAAGTACACCCATTGGAACAACCAGACCAGTTTCTCTTAAGAAGAAATCAATCTAAATAGAAAAAAGGTGAAGACTACTAGTACTCCCAAATCCTTCCCATATAAGAAGTACATTATGTAACATAATTTTGGACACATTGCATTCGATTGCTGAATCAAAAAGCAATATCTTTTAACAAGCAAAGAGCAGTGAAAGAAATGGACAGTAACGTAGGAAAATATGTAAACACAAAGTAATAGTATCAGCTTCCAGCCGATGAGGGAGAGATGTTAGTAGTTCAATGAATCCTTCAAACTGAACCCGCGAGAGAGCAACAGTAGCTTTACCAAATCTTTCATAATCATGGCATCGTAAAAAAAAAGATGTGCAGTCTTATCATAGACATAAGAAGATATGATAATATGGTGTTTACCGAAATGATCAAGTGCACCCAACCTTATTTTTTTTAATGGGTAGAATAAATGCAACAACATCATAATCGACAGAAGATACCTCATATTCTCTATTTGAGAAAATTTTCAAGAAAAGGTGTGGTGTAACATGGTACCTATGGATGCTTGTCTTATGCTATAGTTTCATCCTTGATAGTACGATCATTACACGTGTTATGATGTCTACAAGTGTAACGCCCAAATTTTGAGAAATCAGGTAAGTCTGGCAAATTATTAAAGTACCCCAAAATTTTTTATTTCTCAAAATTTGACCAAAATAATTTTATTAAATTCATCACTCACTGAGTCCTAATTATAAAAGTCAAGACGAGTTCTGGTAAGAGTTGATCTGACCATATTGTCGGCCTCTGCACACCACGATTGGCCCAACCAAGAAGAGTTAGTTAGGGTGTGATAGAAAGTGGTATCAGAGCATAGTTAAGCACGGTTATTTGATGAAAAGAATGATGAAAGAATGTTGGATTTAGAAGAAGTAATAATGAGATCACATATGAATTGATTTATATAGAGCTATAGGTTGATGAATCTGGGATGTTTAACCTTTAGGGCTTAAGGTATCACACGTGCACGATAAAATTATTATATGATGAATTGCATGTGAATAGTAATTTATGCCAATACAAATAAACATGTCAGAAAGAACTGAATGTCAATCTTTTAGGTCAAATGCAGAGCATGAAGTTTGAGCTGACACTGTTTTGGTCATAAATGAAAATCAGAACCATACAAATACAGACACCAAAACTACTTAGTTATTGAGCATTGTGCAACTGATATCACAAGTAATTGATAAAATAGCTGCTATCGAAAGATTCTCCACTAGTACATGGCCTAGATGAGAAATTGAGGCAGAAGTAGATAGACAGTTGCAGATATTTGAGCATTTTAAGCCAACACCATTTAAGGGTGTTATTAACCCTATAGATGTTGAAGATTGGCTTCTCAAGATTGAAAAAATTCTGGATGGTATGATTTGTCCAGAAAACAGAAAAATGGTACTCACTACTTTCATGTTGGAAGACGAAGCAGAAAGTGGTGGCAGGCACAACATATAGAGAAATTTCATCTAACACCTCTTCCATAGGTTTAGTTGGAAGAATTTGTTAAAGTCTTCAAAGATTGTTTTATTTCGTCTTTAGCCAGATTAGCACTGCAGGATAAGTTCTTCAATCTAACATAGGGGTCCAAGACAGTTATGCAACTAGGCAGAATTAACTTCTTTTTCCAGATATGCACCTCACTATGTAAGCACCCATGAGAAAAAGTGGCACGGATTTCTGTGTGGCCTTAAGGATCAGTTGAGATTGGCACTGGCTATATTTGAAATCAGTGATATTTTTGTGTTTGTTGAAGGGGCAAGAAGAATTGAAAATAAGCAGAACTTTTCCAGTCAGCAGTGGAAACCTCAGGAAAACAGACAAAAGGATTTTGGCAAAAGAAAGCACTCTCAAAACAAGAAAACTAAATCAGAAGGCATGCAGAAGCAGCTTCAAATAGAAAAGCCAGTTTGTGAAAAGTGTGAAAAAAGACATTTTGGGCAATATTTGATCAGTTCTGGGAAATGATACAAATGTGAACAACCATGACACATACAAATGAATTTTCCACAGGAAAAGAAGAAAGACACCAAACCACATGCAATCCATGAACATGTACTTTCCAGAAAATTTTTGGAAGGCAGTTAGCCCAGAAGAACTCAATTTTATGAAAAACCTTCAATACAAACAAAGGGTGAAACTTCAGAGCGCAGAGCTGAGCAACCAGTAAAAGCCATACTTTTCGCAATTACCTCTCAAGAAGTCAAAGAATCAGAAGATGTGGTTACAAGTACGCTACTAATTCAAGATTAGTCTGTCGCAGTTTTATTTGATTCATGTGCATCGTATTCTTTTATTCCTGATGATTTTGTTGCTAGTTTACATGTTGATATTATGCATTTTACTCCTGCTTTGTGTGTTACCATGCATTTGAGAAGTGGATTTTATGCCAATAAGAAATTTGAAGTTCATGTTCATGTGCATGATAACAAGTTCGCAGCAAAGTTAATTATCATAGCAATTCAGACCTTTACTGTTATTTTGGGAATGGATTGAATAGTAAAGCACTTTGCTACAACTGAATGATGGAAAAGGCAGCTAAAGCTAAATCCATCTTGTGAAAAGTCATTTTATATCTTTTGTGATCGAAATGCACAATCTTCTCTGATTAGTGAAGTGAAAGTTAGGAAATGTTTGCGAAGTGATGAACTTGTATTTTGTCAAAATTAGAAGTGCTACATAAAGTTGTACAAGAATTGAAAAACATAGTCGTGGTTTCAAAATTTTCTAATGTCTTTCCTGAAGAATTGTCAGGGTTACAGCCAAAACGTGAAATGGAGTTCAGTATTGATGTGCAGCCAGAAATGCTGCAATATTTAAAACTCCATATAGGATGGCTCTG